ACACGTTCCTGGAGGTCAAGGCGCCTTGGGCCTTTTTCCACTATTTGGCTGTGTGTGCATGTGTTTGCAATTGTGGATGACGGGGCCCCTTTCTCTTAGTGGCGTCCGAACAGGTTTTCCTATGTCACGCGGATCTCAGGCAAACGCACATCCCCAAACTTCGTCTCCACACCCCCTCGGTTTGTCTGCGGCTTCTGGGAAGCCGCTCAGGAGAAGAGGCGCCCAAATCTGGGGCGCGCAGGCACAGCGCCGGCCCGCGCTTTGGATCCCGAATTCGTCGATGGCTTCGACCCGGAGTTCCGGATCGAGCCTCCGAGTGAGGAGCGGCGCCGTTTTTTGGAACAAGCGGTTTTTGCCCCCCGGAAGCATGCAAAGCGTTCTTCTCAAAACCGGCTGCAAGCTTCACCTGCCAACTGCCAGCTTTTGGAGTGTTACTTCATTGTTCTAAAAACACAAGCTAACATCAGTATCCAAAATACACACGCTAAACATCTAGGTAACTTTGCTGTTGTTAGTTCACTATCCTAAAAACTAAAACACAAGTTAACTTCTTTTGCATCCTCTCTTCTCGAGGTTTAGTTCTTCTTCTTTTGCTGCGGGTAGGCTGGACGGGAGCTATCAAAACACACCCCTTTGCGGAGATTGCACGTGTCAAAGCGCTCCCGCAGTTGCGTCTAGGTTTCGGCGAGCCCTCTGTGGAGATCGTGCGCATCGAAGCGCTCTTGCCGTGGCGCCGTGCGTGTCGAAGGCGTTCTTGCTGTAGCACCGTGCAAACTTGCAAAGTGCTCGACGAACCCTCTGGGGATCATGCGTGCTGAAAGCGCGATTTTTGCAAAGGGGCTCCGGCTCGAGAATCCCAACTCTTCACGCGCAAAAGCTGGAAGCCAGGTAAGCTTGTCCAGCCACGGCTCAAAAATCGCAACTTTCAAGCACGAAAACGACGACAGTGCGCGGAGCAAGCTCGAAGATCGCAACTTAAGTATGAAAGTAGGACGCGAAGTGTGAAGAGTGCTTTTCCAGCCGCGGTTGGAAATTCGCAACTTCTTTTCAGTGACAGCGAGGTGCTGCTCCCGCACGAGGATTTTGGAAAGCGTAGCTTGTAAGCACGAAAACAGTACGCCTTCGCAGCTGCAACTCGAATGTCGAACTTGGAAATTGCGGCCAGCTTTTCGCTGCAAAAGTAGAACTCGACGTCTGCTCCCACGCAGCTCCAGCTCGCAAATCACAATATTTTAGTATAAGAGTAGGATGTGAAGTACGCTCCGCCAGCTCCTTCTCCGACATGGCAACTTTGGAGTATAGAAACCAATCACGCAATCTCTAGTTAGATGCGCAGCACTCGACCAACTCACGCAAAACTACATTTTTGTTGCTGTGAGCAAAGGCACTGGTCGTAATTATTGTGTTCTATGCTTCCGTCTAGTTGCTGTATTCTTGTTAGTGCCAGGGCAAACGAGAGAATTCAGAGATCCAGGTGGTCCCCTTGTTGACGGTCGGTCTGGGGCTGAGTGATGCGTCAGGACAGCGCGGCGAAGAAATTGGTTTATGGCAAAAAGCGTCCCAGCGCCTCGGCAGCATAGCAATCTCTTCGTGCTCGTGTCTTTTTCAAAACCGTTTTGCGACCCCTTGGAAAAGGAAGGCTTGAGGTACCGGTCCGAATTTGGGAGCCTGTTTTTTTCACCACGCCTCGGCGCCTTCAGGTTTGCACAGATTCGATACTCCGGACCTTTGGGAGCAGCAGATGATGCTGGAAGCAGACGCAGATTTCAAGGAAACCGCTGTGCCGAAAGTGCAAACGACACCAGAGGCAGTCGCACAAGCGATACAGGCAGCGCAAGTTTCGCATGGCACACATGCCGTTGCGACACCAGCACTTGAGGCGCCTTTGCTTGCAAGAGGTGTGGTGACATAGTTAAAGTAGTCACCTGACGTTGCCAGTAGGCTCATGTAATGCTGGCATTCACTGAACCCCATGGCATTTGTGAGACGCACATTGATGCATGGCTCATGCAGGTGCATCATCCATGGGAATTTGGTGAGCTGCGTTGACAGGGCCAAAAGAGATGCAACAAGCATCTCGAAACCGTAGCACCCCAGAAAAAGACTTCAGATCCCTTGGTCAGGGTTCCCTTTGAGTGGTTTTGGTTTTAATTGTTACCTTCTAGTCGCCTTTGAAGAGTTTCCTTTGGCCGGAGTGTTGTTTCATGGGAAGATGCCAAGAGTTGTCATTTGACACGGGCATGGGCGGGCCCATGCTAGCACTCAATGGATTCCCTTCCAAAGCTGTTTTTTTTTTTAAATTATCTCTCTCTCTCTCTCTTTTTGGTTCCTTGAGCCTTCAGGAAGCCCCACCCCCCTTTCGTAAAGCAGCTTTCGTTGGCGTTTTCGGGTAAAACACGACCCCGGCGACTGCGGAGCTTCCGTTCCGTGACCCTTCCGAGGGCGAGAGCCGTGCGGCTCCGGAGCTCAAGGAGGCCGGAGGCTCTGGTCGGAGTGCGGCACCCAAAGGTCCCCGGCAGAAAGGACGCGATGGACCCGATGGGATTTGTGAATCAGTGAAGGAATGTCCGGAAGAAAGAGGAGTCCACAGGTCAGGGGAGTCTTTTTGTTTGGGATGGGCGCTTGAGATTCTGGAGCCGGGGAGGATGAGCCTTTTGAGAGAGGGGGAGGGGCATAAAAAGAGCTGAATTGGCTCCGAAAAGAATGGTTTGGTTTGATTCGGGATTTCGGGTTGGGATGCAGAGTGGGAAAGACACCGGAAAAGGATGATTTTGAAGGCCCGTTCAGGACGTGGGTGGAGTTGTTTGCTTGCAGAAACGAAGGGATGGGGCGAGCGGGCTCACTCTATGCGGCTATGCCTTTCAATTCTTTGATTGTTTCCTTGGACTGTATTTTGACAAAGGCCCTCGAAGAGGCAAGTCTAGTTCATCCTTGTTTCTCCTGGGGATTGAGGGAGGGTTGAATTGTAGGGTACGGGGGGTATTGCGGACTTTGGGCAGTTTCAACAATTGGTTGCTTGGGGGAGTAGCCGCAGGATGAGGATTCAACATTTGCGAAGGATCAGTTTCATTGGTCTGGCGGGACAGCAATGAGCCAGCTGAGGATTAGGATGATTGGAACAGGTCCAAGTGCGTCCCAGTGGGGAAGTATGTGGGCCCCACGACTAGTTGCTTCCCTTCTGTTTCTGTTCAAAGATATGTAAATTTGTTTCAGGAAGGAAGCATGTATGAATGCAGACAAAAGTCTCCCTCGCGGGAGGCTTTGGCTCTACCCGCTCAGTCGGCTGCGCCGATGAATTTTGGCCAAGCACGCTGGCAGCACGCAAGCCACCAAACAGAACGTCGGGGAGGCTTGTTTGAGACGGGCGCATCAACTCTGCAATAGGGTTCTGAGGTTGAGTGGACAAACCGTCAGGATGCCACGGCGGCATTTGCCACGTGACAGCCCAGCGACACCGTCAGTTCAGCTACAACAGAACCAGCCAGTAGCGAAACCTTCCCTTCTCACAAAAAGAATAGGGCGAGGCTGCTTTCAGGCCTTTTGATTCTTCACATAGTTTCGGGAAGCGACTCCTTTACCAGGTTCTGATTCCTCAGATGGGTTCTCCGAGCAAGAACGTGGCTCGCTGGCCATAGCCGAGGTGGCCATGCTCCTCGTTGCTCCAGTGGTATGCCCCCCACTGCAAGTGTCGCCCGTGTCATCGCCCTCCGCACCGAGCCGTGGACCGCCACAGGACCTTTCCTTTCTCTCCCGGAACCCTGGGGTGGTCGTTTTGAAAGCGCGCCTTCCGGTTTGAGGTTGCTTTGTGTGTGTCATTTGTTGCGGGAACCCTTTTTGGGTTGGATCAAATTTGAAAGGACGCCAACCATTCTGTGGGCTCCCCAGTTTTGAGTGAAGCCACCCATGTTTTGGGTTCAGTTTTTTGTTACAAGATGCATCCGTCTTCAGGACGTTCCCGATCAGCCTCGGTTGCTGGGGAGAGTAGCCTCACCTCGCCCGGAGGGCGCTGAGAAGCCGTCGCTGGGCATGAACCTTCACCCGTGTGGGTGTGTGTTCTTTTCGTGGGTACCCATTTGGTTGTTTTGAAGGGATACCAAAGGTGTCCCCCCCCCCCCCCCGCATCTCCTTGGGCGCCCCTCATTCAGAGCGAAGCTTGAGCAAGCTTGGAGCGGGCACTGCTCAGGCGCGGCGTGGTGGAGGCTGACCAAACACTCGTGTCGGGCACCCAGTCGTCGGCGTCCATTGGTTTGAGTTTGCCATGTGGCCATACTATGCTTTTATTTTTCCCATGTCCCACCTACTTTGATGTTCATCAGGGGTACAGGGTTTGGTCCCACAGCCATGTGTGGCGCTGAGTCTACTTTTTCTTTCTTTCCGACTGCGTCGAGGCCAGGTGCATTGGATCAGATCACGACGGAGACTGGGAGCACCAAGATTCGGTGGTGCGTGGATGGGCAGAAGCTGGAGTCACACGCGGAAAAGCTGATAAGCCCTGAGTTCAAATTAGGTGTGCCAGGGCAGGAGAGTCAGCCTTTCCGCATCATGATCCTGGCGAATCAGACCGGGGGCAAGCATGGCGCTGGTTTTAAGAAGGCCAAAGGCGCGGGATCCGTACATGTGGTGGCCAGGTTCAACCCCTTCTGGCGGCGTGATTTTTTTGGAAGGTTTGATGGTGGCCAAACCCCTTTCCGTGTGTCTCTCTGCGAAGCTGGTATGTTTTTTGTTTCCTACTTCCAGTCAGCGCGAAAGGCCGCAGCACCATCGAGATCAAGTGCCTGGGCTCCTTCGAGGGCCCCGCCACGGGCATGTTGGTGACGGTGGGCTTTGGCAGCCGGAAACAGAAGGCCCGGGAGCTGGTGAGGCACAGCTTCGCGGAGAAGAGCTGCTGCCCCCTGCCCAAGGGCAGGGACCCGGTCTGGGATTTGAAGGCGGCCTTGTGTAAGGAGACCAAATGCGTGGACATTTGTATAGAGATCCTGCCATTTCTGTAATTCAGCGCCTGCGAACGACAGGCAGAATTGAGAAGTCTCACTCGCACTCTACCTGGCACAGGGGTCCTTCTGTCCTTTTTGGGTGAT